TGCGCATAATCAATCAAGAAGACTGACATTGGACAGCTGTATCTACATGGTCGACAGCGGCGGTGCCAACCTCCCCCACCAAGCGGACGTCTTCCCGGACCGTGATCACTTCGGACGCATCTTCTACAACCAAGCAAGGATGAGCTCGATGGGAATACCCCAGATTTCGGTCGTCATGGGTCCGTGCACCGCTGGCGGGGCTTATGTCCCCGCGATGAGCGACGAGAGCATCATTGTCGAGAACCAGGGTCACATTTTCCTTGCGGGTCCGCCGTTGGTGAAGGCTGCCACGGGTGAGGTGATCAGCCACGAGGAGCTGGGAGGCGGCAAGATGCATTCTTCGGTCTCCGGCGTGACCGATTACCTCGCGGTTGACGATGCCCATGCAATCACCCTTGCGCGCCGTAGCATCAGCAACCTGAATTGGCCGAAGCAGTCCCCCGCAACGATGGCGCCGGTACAAGACTACGCTGAACCTCTTCACTCGCCTGAAGAGCTTCTGGGAATTGCCAGCACAAACTTGAGGAAGCCCCTGCCCATCAAGGAGGTCATTGCTCGTATTGTTGACGGCTCTGAGTTCTCCGAGTTCAAACAAAATTTTGGAACCACCCTTGTCACCGGTTTTGCCCACATCCATGGCTACAAGGTTGGCATCGTCGCCAACGACGGTATCCTATTTGCAGAATCCTCCGTCAAGGGAGCCCACTTTATCGAGCTGTGTGCTCAGCGAGGCATTCCGCTAGTCTTCCTCCAGAACATCTCTGGCTTCATGGTTGGCTCCGCTGCGGAGCGTGGGGGTATCGCCAAACACGGCGCCAAGCTGGTGACGGCCGTCGCTTGCGCCGACGTACCAAAGTTCACCGTCGTTGTTGGTGGTAGCTATGGTGCGGGCAACTACGGCATGTGCGGCAGGGCCTACAGCCCGCGCTTCCTCTGGATGTGGCCCAACGCCCGTATTGGTGTCATGGGCGGTGAGCAACTGGCTGCTGTGATGGAGACCGTTGGAAAGCAGGTCGATCCTGAATTGAAGGAGAGAATAGAGCGGGAGAGCGATGCTACCTACTCATCTGCCAGGTTATGGGTAAGTCACAACGCAACATCCACGTCACCGATACTTGCTAACCATGGTTCATAGGACGACGGTATTATTCCCCCGCAGCACACTCGCAAGTACCTTGGGTTGGGTCTCAGGGCAGCTATGTCAGGCCGTAATGAAGTAAAGGCTGGTGATACCAAGTTTGGCGTATTCAGAATGTAAAAATGCTTAGATTTAGGATCATCTATGAGGCGTTGGGAGAAATGCATCAAGAAAGTTCTTACACCCGTTGTTGAGGCGCCTGCACGGCAGCCCAAGTATCACCTAGTCGTTTCAGTCTACGGACAAGGCGCGTCAATGAACGGCAGTGGTCGATCGAAAAGCACACGATCGACTCGTTTCTCCAATGAACGTCGTCTCGCCAATTGCCCGCTAATGCCGGGGCTTGGTGTTATCCGAACCTCATTAAGAGCGGCTAGATGTCCCGGCCGCTTTCCCGCGGTTGCATTTGACGCCACGCCGAAGCATCTCCAGATTGCCGTCTTGACAACGGCCAAAAACCCAAAATCAGATGGTAAAAAGCCCATCTCGGCCAAACGAAAGGAATGGCATCCGGGACGGACTGCCTAGTTCAGAAACATTACGGGGCCAGTTCTGCAGCAGATCGGGGCAGGAGCCAATTGCGCGGACCGAGCTCCGGGGACCCACCGGCCGCCACCCCTGCTCTTTGCCGGCGGTGTACCTCGGGCTCCATCTTCTTCATTCTTCATTGCACTCCAATCCTACGCAGTTTGATGCCGGCAACCATGGAACTCTGTCCTCTCCCCACGCATTCTGCGGGTCAAATGTGCCAGCAAGAAATAACGTGGCTACAGATACGACCATCCACGTGCCGTCTGGCTGAGTAGTATCATGGCAGCTACACCCGACATTTCGTCTAGTGAAAGGTCGTGCCATCCGATGATCTCATGGAAACGACATTGGCCATCTTCCGATGTCCGACGAAAATCAGAAGCTTGCGGCTAATGCTCAGCCGTTCAGCCCAACATGCGACAGATGGGACGGATGTGCATGTGGTGACACGCAACTCGACCTACCCGGAGCTAGCAGCGGAAGCTCGCGACTGATCCCATTCGCCTGTCACTCGACACAACGGAAAGATCTCACCACTCATCGAAGATATCATTTCCCGCATGCGTGGTTGGTCTGGCTACACCACCTCAACAACCTCCTTTTTTTTTTTTTCTCAATTCTTCCGTTTTCCATTTCCTTGGTTCCCGGGCAGACCGTGGTTCGTCGGCGAAGGAGAGGGGCGAAGGCGAACACCCATGCAGTGCGCTCCCACCCTAGTCTGACCGATCTCCAATCCTTGCCTCACCGGTGAACCCTTCACCGGACCCAAAATATGCAACTCTCTCTTTCAGGATTTTTTTTTTGCTGCCTCTCTGCTCCTGCTGGTAATGGACAAGCCCCCCCGGTCAGTGGGTAGGAGGGTGTCAAACGGGCTGCAAAGCCCCTTGCGGCATCGCGCCTTACTCTTTCCATCCGTATCTCGTCCTCTGGCTGGTTGGGATGACGGTAGGCACATGCAGGGGAGGGGAGAGACCGGTCTGCAGGCTGCGATGTTGGCAGGTCGCGAAGATATGTGTGGGGGAGGAACGGGGCGGGCTGAGCCAACGACGAACCCGAGGATCGTCAGCTCGAGGAAGCAGGCTCTCGTGATACGTTCACCGCCACGAAGTCGTAGGCGTATATGAAGAGGATTACCCCGGTCGTTGTGCTGGCTTGATCTGGTTGTTTTGACTCATTCTGAGACGCTGTTGGGAGACACGTCTTGGTCTAGATTCAGACCCTAGATTTCATCTGCCGCAGGTCGAGACACATCAAAGCTCGGAGCCAGATCTGTCATCTGTCACTTCTCATCTTACCAGAAGCATCTACCAAACAAAGACGACAACATGGCACCCTCAGCCTTACCCGAAGAGCCACAGATGTACGCCCCAACCGTCACCGAGATGGCTCGCGGCCGACGTTTCTACCCCTCCCACAGGTTCATCACAAGCTGTGGCACAGTCACAGTCGACCTGAACGCACGCCGGGTGCTTCTCGTATACAACAAGCGCCACCGCATTCACCAGTTACCAAAAGGCCGAAAGAACATTGGAGAAGATCTGCTGGCGGCAGCATTACGCGAGACCAGGGAAGAAACCGGTGTTGTGGTGACACCGATTCCGCTGCAGATCCGGACGAGGGCGACGCCGGCGAATGCGCCACCCGGAGCGCCGGATATCACGGAAGAGACGGACAGCACGGAGCCGGTGGCCGTGTGCCACTACCCAGATCCGAACTCTGGGGCGATGAAGATGGTATTCTACTTTGTTGTTGAGGGCAGATCTGGACTTGCGCCAAGTGGATGGACGGGAGAGGATCGGTCGAAATTTGATATTATCTGGGTTGACTTTGCCGAGGCGGCGGACAAGTTAGCGTTCAAGGAGGATGGCATGGTTGTCACTAAAGCCTTGGAGGATTTGAGAGTTTCTGGGTATGACGCCTGATTTCTCTGGTGCTGGTGCTCAATTGGAACAGGCTTGGCGTTGCGAATCGGAATGGGAAAGGAAACACATTTGTTGACGGGTAATTTGACTCGTCTGGGTTTTGTGTGTTGGGTTTTGGTTTATGGGCTATGATACCCATCTACTTGGATAGCAAGGACCGGTTAAATTGTCAAAAGTTGATTGAATGCTTGTGGGACCGCGGCTCAGATATAGTATGTAGACATGTTTGAACTTTTGATCACTTTGATCACTTTGATCACTTTGAGTCAAATCCAGTCGGAATTCATCCAAGGGGTCCGACAGAAGTCCCTATGCCTCATCTTTCTGCAGGGCTCACTACGTGGAGGTGGATTTAAGCTTATGAGTAGCTTTGGGGGAACGTGCGGGGCATCCTGGCAAGTCAATGACAACTTCCAAAGTCATAGGTAACCATGTGTAACCATTCATCGAGCTATCTGCCTAAAAACTCGTTCACAGGACTCGAACTGGATTGCTGAATAGTATGAGAACTAAGACGTCCATAAAAACAACGAGAAGGTGCGAGCTAGGACAAAGACTTACGGCATGCTGGGAACCCCCTTGCCGGAAGCCTTCCCCGGCTGCGTATGTCATGGCTGAAGCTATGTCCCTTAAATGTGGGCGAACCAAAGCACTGGGTTTTGGAGTAGGGCAATTGGAAGGTACACATGCAGATTAATGCATTTGTGCCCGTCACTGCCTGAACATGTCGGCAATGGATGATTTGGAATAGGCATGCGCAACAACGACATCAACAGTAGCTCGAACATTGTCATCGACTGCAACTACCGAAGAGTCCGGCCTAGCTCGGGACCGGCGCCGGCAAACGAGCGGGTCTCCCGGCAGGGTGGACCTCGATCCAGTACCGATTCAGTTTCATTCATGGATATGGTGACATCACCCCCCACAGCTACCCCTCCTCGTAACAGCTCGACTCCTTATCGTTTTACCCCTCCATCGAAAGAGAACGCGCGCGCGAGCCCCTCCCAATTCGCGAGAACGCCTCGTCCGAACACACAAGACGGCACAAGGAAAGCTTGCCCCCATTGACCAACCGGTGCCCCCCCGCCTTACCTTATTCTTCGTCAATAAACGTCAGCGAAAACCGGAGAGCCACACCTTCCATTCCACTCTAGAACCAAGACAAACCCACCTGCCCATAATATTGGATGTCTTCCCACACTGCCAAAGCAGCCCGCTCCGCTTCCCAAGCTTTTTCCAGAGCACCCCTGGTCCAGAGAGCAACTTCTTCCTCCTCCACATCTGTCATAGCTTCGCGCTCAACAACACCAGCTTCCGTCACAACAGCAAACAAGAACTTTACTTGCTGCGGTTCTATTAATACGTCGTCGCCTTTCAATTCACGACAGTTCTCGACACAGACCGCCAGAATGGCTACCACCATGCCCGCCCAGCACGGCCACCACGAGGCCTGCTGCAACATCCCGCCCGTCGTCGCCAAGGGCTACGAAGCCAAGGGCAGCTACGAGGAGATTGGCAGCAAGAAGACCTGTTCGTCGGCCTCCAAGTGCTCTCACCGTGTCGAACCACCGCTAACCCGCGTTCCCTCGCAGACGTCACCGGCCCCGCCGACGCCAAGAAGGCCATCGTCGTAACATTCGACATCTTCGGCTTCTTCCCCCAGACCCTGCAGGGCGCCGACATCCTGGCCACCGCTGGTGCCGAGAAGTACCGCGTCTTCATCCCCGACTGGTTCGCCGGCGAGCCGGCCGACATCGCGTGGTTCCCTCCCGACAACGAGGAGAAGCAGCAGAAGCTCGGCGCCTTCTTCCAGAGGTTCCCTCCGCCCAAGATTGCCGAGCTTACCCCCGAATATGTTAAGGCTATTCAGTCAAAGTACTCCTCCATTGAGTCTTTCGCTACCATTGGTGTAAGTACATGTAAACTGAGATGATAGCTTGCGAACATAGAGCTAATTGGAGTTGCAGTACTGCTGGGGAGGAAAGGTCGTTTCCCTCGTCACATCCTCCGACAGCAACCCCTTCAAGGCCGGCGCCGAGGTTCACCCCGCCATGGTCGACCCCGCAGATGCCAAGGGTATCAAGGTTCCCTTGATCATGCTGGCTTCCAAGGATGAGGGAGAGGAGGATGTCAAGAAGTTCGAAGACAACCTGAGTGTTTCGAAGCACGTTGAGATCTTCAAGGACCAGATCCACGGCTGGATGGCTGCCCGATCAAACTTGGAGGACGCGCGCGTTAAGGAGGAGTACACTCGTGGATATAAGACTGTTTTGGAGTTCTTCGCCAAGAACTTCTAGAATGCCACGCTTCATGTCAGGGTTGTCTAAAGACTAGCGAATTTGAATCCATTAGGCTGTTCACTGAGTTACATACGTGATTGCTGACGACCCAATAATTTTGGGCATTTAATTCTCTATCAGTCTGTGAAAATGGAAGACAGAAAAGATGGCCGAGACGAGCATGAACAAATGTCCATTCTGAGAGAGTATGAAAGTTCGGCGAATACTGTGCGGTCTCTACATATTCAGGACCACTCACTGCCGAGAGTGTTATCTGGAGCTTGTGTACATTCCTTCGTCATTTGGCAGGTAATGAGTTCTGAAGTAGAAGACGCTGTAACGCGGGCCTTTTCGACGTCACAAACCCCAAATCTATGACTATGTACATGCCACGTTTATCCCACCAGGCTAAGGATCCAGGCCAGCACTGAGAAAAGGGCACGAGGGTCTTGTAGTTATTGGGGCATGAAGAGGCCCCAGCAGCTATTTCAACTGCAAGAAGAAACGGGAGGAAAATGCGTTTGGTATCACCTACTACTGTGAAATAAGGGTTTTCCGGGCTTCGCCCTCCGCCAGAAAACCCTCAACCCAAACATGATAGTTGTGTCGGGATCGATGCCATTGAACTCCAGAAAGTACCGAACATATCCGATGGCTCTCTCGGTTATGTTCACTCTTTTCCGTGATCTAAGCCTTTTGCCGCCAGGGGAGAATTGAGACACGTGATTCAGAAGTCGATGAATCGTTTGGATCACAGAATACTCTCCGTCCAAGGCGAGCATCAAGGGAGGCTTCCCTAGCTTGTCCAATACTTCAACCTCATCCACAATCTCTGACAGCTTGTCCATCAAACTAATCTTTCTTGTGGCTGTGGCCCACCACAAGGGAGTACGTCCATGATTGTCTGGTGCTTCAACAAAATGCTGATATCCTGAAAGAATGCACGAAATGTCATCGTACGCCGGTGAATCAATTTCAGAATTTTCCTCGTTTCCTTGGCCACGATTGCTCTTGAAGTTGTCTGTACTTGATACAGAGTCGCGGCCAGCCCCTGCGACTATCAATAGTGCAGTTCGACCAAACTTGTCACGGACTGCCACATCATTACCGAGTTCCGAGAGATTCCCTAACATCGAAAGTCTCCTTGATTCGGCGGCTAGCATGATGGGCGTCATATTGTTAACATCTCGGCAGCTGATCTCTGCCCCTTTCTCTTTTAAGGCTATAAGACAAGATGATGATCCTGCCATTGCAGCATAACACAAAGGCGTTCGATGATGCTCATCCGAAGTATCTACGACAGCACCATGTCGTAACAGTGTCTCCAAGGCTGGTAGATTGGACGTTCCAGCGGCAAATGACAAAGGAGTACGTCCTGTACAGTCTTTGGCTTCGATATTGGCCTTGTGATATATGAGAATCTCCAGAGCCAGGGTCTGCTCATGAGAAAAAGCGTGCCAAAGTGGGGTTTGGCCTGTCTTTGTGTTGCGAGCATCAACTTGAGCCCCGGATTCCAGGAGCATTGCTAGCATCGAGATCAAACAGTTTTTGGCAGCAAAATGCAAAGGCATGTCTCCGTGTCGATCTACAGCTTCGACCGCTGCTCCTCTTTTTAAGAGCACCTCAAATGATGAATCTTGCTTATTGACGAGGGCATGCCACAGGGGAGTCCGCCCCTCATTATCTCTAGCCTCAATGTTGGCTTTTTTATCCAGGAGTATGACCAGGATCGATAATTGGCCAGCCTCTGCTGCAGATGCCAGCACAGTCATGCCTCTTTCATTTCTCGATTCAATGTCCGCGCCACCATTTATCAACAACTCAACCATCAAGTCTTGGTTCTTCGATGGCCATAGCGCCGTTGGTTTGTCAGGTTGGCTCAAAAATTTGGCGCCATTTTGTAATAGTACCTTTACGGTAGATACGTGGCCTGATTGAACAGCTCGTGACAGGGCATTTCTTCCAGTACTGTCAAGTGCTTCGATATTTGCTCCGTAGTCTAAGAGAAGTTGAACTGTCTCATCGAGGCCTTTGCAGGCCGCGAACGCCAAGGGAGTACCGTGATACCTGTCCATGTTTTCAAGTTTCACGCCTTTGGCGGACGTTTGCTTCTGGATACCCGACAGTAGATGTCGTGACCGCTCAAGGAGCAGGCGGATCATTGTCACATCTCTCTGTCCGATGCACAGATACAGAAGTGAAGGGCCGTTCGCGCTCTCAAAGTCGATATCTTCAACCGAGGCAAAATGGAGGAGTCTGCCAACCGCATCTAAATGGCTAAGCTCTACGGCCTTAAAGAGTGCCATGTGGAAAGGTTCGATGCGTCCTCGGTCGTGGCGCCTTTTTAGTTGTAGCGTGTCCTCTTCTAGGATGTGCGCGATCAATTTGGCGTGACCCCGGTGAGCTGCCCATGATAAAATCGATTGTTCCTCGCGGTCGACGAAACTTATCTCGTCTGTAGGCAATAATCGATCTTTGAACACCTGCAGCAAACCGAACGATGCTGCTAAGTGTGCTCCTACAGATGGTACGTCCTCTCCCATGAGATCCCGTGAAATGATAGCTAGACTCTGGAGCATTTCCCGATTTTTGAGTAAATGGACGGCATTTTCTTGGAGTGTGTCGCAATTTTCTGCGTGATGTCCCCAGTATAGGACAGCGTATTCACAGAAAGGGAATCTCGACTTCCGGAGGTCTTTGAAGGCGAAAGACTCGAAGTGATACGGTTTTCGCCAAGATGGAATACACCGGGTATGGTTTCTAATTAGTCGCTGAACCTGTTCAAGGCCAAGATAACGAACGCATGTGTTCGTGATTTCGGCATCAGCTTCCGGAAACAGGTATGATTTTCTTTTGTTGAAGAATTCCTGTGTTGTTTGATGGACCAATCGAACAATCCCGCCTTGCTCGTCAAGAGTCACTAAGCCCGCACATGAAGAAATGATAATCTCGGAGGAGGGGATGTTGTCTTCCTCAATCTCTGGTTCGTCATCCTCCACAGCCAGGGCATGCTGGAGCTCATTCATCTCCAACGGTCGCTTGGCGAATACGATCCAAGAAAGGACCTGGTTTGCAAGCTGAACACGCGCAGGTGGTTGCACACGTATTCTTTCCAGAGCCTCATCGTAGAAATACGCGTATGTATTGTCCTCGGCAGAAGCAGCAACCAGGGCTTTTCGAACGGCTTTGGGGGTTGTCTTATAGGACAACGAGTCAATGAGCAACTTGGCGAGAAGAAACCTGAGTTGATGAGTATTTCATTTCATGTCCTGCCGGGTAGTGGAACTCACATTCCGTTAATTCTGCATAAAATACCTTTCTGTATTTCTTCTTGAATCTCGGGACGCCTTTGCACAAAACTTTGCATGTCTGGTGTGCGACTCGATATGTACCGCGACACATCAACGTCGCTGGCTTGAATTTTCAAGGTATTTGCGTTCTTGAAGTTGGAACATTCAATGATCTCAGGGATCTCTCTGGTGGTTGCCAATACATTCGTTGGGTGTCGCTTTTGCAGCCGAAAGACTTCCGACAGCAACGCATGTCGACTCTTGGATTCGCACTCATCCAAAGCGTCAATGACTATGAAGACTCTATCATGGGAGAAAGCGACGGCCTGAAGCACATTTATAGTATCTTCCAGAGTCCTGGAGGTCTTCTTTCTGTGATGGGTGTCGTAGAGTGCTTTGAGGCTGTCTGGAATTGGAGAGCGATATTGGGCAAGTTGTTTGGTGATGCTCGAAAGCATGTCGTAGTAGGTCTGTCTCTCCTGACCTTCGAGATTGCAGTAGACGTAGGCTATGCCGACGCTGGCGTCGTTCTGGTACCGATGAAATAGGTCATCTACCACGACGGAAACCATGATGGTTTTTCCCGCACCTGGCATCCCGGGACAAAGGAGGGTCTGACTCTTGCCTGATATCCACGACTTGTACTTGTCGCAATCCAGAAGCCATTGATTGGTGCCGGTATATCTGCGGGAAAGATGGTCCCGCTGCTGCGGCGCGTAGTCGGTGGTTGTCAACCAATCCAGGATCTCTCTTTCTTGGCGACTTGTCTGTTCATCATGCATCAAAGTCACGACTTGTTTCGTGGCATGTATGGCCTCGCTACACTCATAGTCAGCACGATCGAGTGCTACTGACGACACGTCTTTACCTGTCCCTAAACCCCTTGATCGCGGTGAGGAAATGGACATTCAAGGTAATCCGTTGTCGCAGTTTCTGAATGTCTTCGGGCTTTATCCTTAGGCGTCTCCAGACGGCCCGAGGCTTCAGGCTGGTCAGCTTGCTCGTGCCCTCATGCTTCTCCAAGCTCGTGTTCTCATTGAAAATCTTCTCGAGCTCGCCCAGAAGCTTTGTGGATTCCTTGATGGAAGGGGCTAAGGCCTCTTTTTCGTCCTCAGTGAGCTGGTCTTCGACATGGCCAATGTATTCTAGTATCGACGTAAGGGATGCAATCCTATAGAGCAAACGGCCGTCAGACACACTAGTCAGATATAACGATGACTGGCCAATCCTACTCGCGACTAAGAGAGTCGAAGTGATCCGGAGCATCGGCGAAGCGCTCGCGATAGAGCTTCGCCTTATCCAGCACAGCGATAAAGTCGCCTACTCCGAAACCGAAGCTCATTATTGCTGCCGGAAGTCTCGCCGTAATGGCTATGTTCAAAGGAGAATCTATTTTTTCTGATGTCCAGTCTGATCTGTAGAGACGGGCCGCTTCGCTGATCTGAGTGCTGCGCCCTCTTGACGTGCAGATGATTGGTTGCCTTCCAAAGCCATTCGTTGGTCACATCTGCAGCTTCGTGGGTCACTGACATGAAAGGTAACCAATCATCATAATCGAGTACGCTGCTCAATTCCAATGAAGCCAGAGTTGTTGTAGCACGTTTACGAGGGAAGAAAACATATCTTCATCGTTTCGAAGTAACCCCCCTCCACTAGCCATGTTGCATCGAAAGCTGTAGCTAGCAGCAGATTTTGAGTTCAGCCGGATGGATGGTTACCTATGAAGATGGCCTAATCATAGCTCTCACCGAGGATAAAGCTAGTTGTCGCGAGCAACTCGAGAGGAAACACCTTATTTTTCCTGTACTAAACCGGCTATTGTTCCTGTCAACTGTCTTTCTCAACGACTTAAGATATGAAATTGATTGAACACGTAGGGAACGTACCCGCGCAGACACAAGGAAAATAATGCGGTCCCCGCGGGAACACTTTTATGAACCATCACACACTCCTCGCTGCGGTGGACAGCATCGTGAGCTTGAGTTTGTAGGTGAAGGCCGCAGATAAGATAGAGCAGAAGGTAGTGGCTTAATAGCGGGATCGCGGCTTCCTCAAGATGTTGGGGCTATCAGCCGATCAGATCCAATCAAGCCTGACAGAATGATTGGAAATGGGCCCTACCTCGATAGCCAGAGACAAATTCTATCTCACTGGCATTTCGAAAGTTCCTGCATAACACACAACACCACCAGAAACAATTTCTTCGACAGAAATTGCAACATTTTCGCACCCGAAAAAAACAGCAATCACGCACAAGAAAACCTACAAGCAAATAATGATTTCCATTCTACTTTTTTCCATTTTCTTTGGTAGCTAACTTGTGGACCAGGATGCCTTCCTTCCACATGTCGACTCAGAACATCAAGGACACTTTGGCTCCTCGCGAGACCAACGGTCACGTTGTCTTTCTGAAGAAACTTCACTGGTTGAAGAAGGAATCACAGGTAGAAGCCTACGTCGACGAAATCATTCGCCCGCGTCAGGTCGAATACTACTGGCCAGAAAAGGATGACAGAGCAAAGAAGGCCAAGCAGCAGAACATGGGCTATGTTTGGATCGTGTGCGAGAACAAATAAGCAGCAAAGACCCTCGCGAAGGAGATCAACCTTGTGGAGAGAAAAGGGGGATTTTATAGGCGCACTCTCGAAGCAGTCCATACAAATCGCAGATCGGTCAGTTCCCTGCTTCACTAAAAAACAGTGCAGCGCCTGCCTCTTCAGAACAGACATCCCACGGGCAGACCGCACCACACGCCTCCAATCAACACGCCTTCAGCTTCAACAGCTCTTCCTCCTGCGTCGGACTCTCATCTCACGTCCGAAGACCCGGCATGTGATACCGCCTACATGAGACTATCCCACGCTACCACGACGCCTGGAAACACTCCTGCCGCCAATTTTGCCAATATCAAACTCATCATGACCGGTGATGCCCTTGTGGATTCCCAGCCTCAGAACGAGGGAGGTGGTCCTACTGGGGAGGATAGCGCGTCAGAATCCGCGGAAGAGGATTCGTACTCTGACGTCGAATCTCTCGGCCTAGACTTGTCCTAGAGTTGTCCAACATCGATTCCGACGATTTCTTTTTCGCAGGCCGAACCTTCTGAGGCCTCCACTTTGAAGACGATGCGGGCGCAGATCTGGACTACTTACTGCAGCTGCTACCTCAAGGCCTTTACCACGGCAAACAAATCATGATAGCGATGCTGGCAAGGTTGCTCCTGCTTTTCCACCGGCGTTGGCCGAACTTTCTACCTTTCTAATGGCGTGAGCCTTGGCATCGGCCTAATCTCATCAAACTTCCTGAAGAGCTTATGCTCACGACTTCTTGAAGGGTTCATGCCCATCTACTTCCTGAAAGGCTTATGCCCATAGGTTGAGATTCCTTGGGCTTGGTCCCTAAAGGTCGCACTGGTATCCTCGAAAGAAGAGGGGTTCGAATCACCAGCGATCATTTCTTCTGAGGAACTCAAGCTTGCAAACTTCAATGGCATAACTGCATCAGTCGCTAGTATTCTTGTGTATTCGCAGGAGTTTTGCTTGCTGAGCAGTGTCACTTGGCTATCCGAGCAATGTCCCCAGTAACTTTTACAAGGACGAAGGTAGTAGAGAAAACAATCGGGGTAACAATAACAATAACGACGATAGACGACGACGATGCCGGCAACGATAGCGACAATAGCAGCGACAACGAAAGGAAGTACCTGAGAAATGTAGTCGCTTTAGCACAGGAAAAGTACGGGATCCGACAGGGTGTACGGACTACACGCGTGCGTTGACACTGCCTGAATGGCCACCTGACATTGCTCGGCTAGGAAAACTCATCCGAAGTGCTTCTATTCGATCAACCCGTACGTTATTCCTGCCAACCCATAGTTTTAACGACGATACCAAGTTAGTTGACCTCGCTGCGCAAGTCACGTTACGCAACGATGACTTCTCAGTCGCAGAGGCATGTGATGTTGACAACATATTGTATTCTTTACTCAAGCTAAGTTTTCCACCAAAACTTTTTCATCGTTTTGATCCATCTAAGGCGTAAGTCTCTTGGGGGTGCGAGGGTAGTAGCTCGCCAGGTGGACGGAAGGCAGGTTAAGGAACCAAGCCACAACACGGTCAAGACCGATGCCGCCACCGCCGTGGGGAGGAACACCAGCGCTGCGGAACACATCGACGTACTCCTTGATGCCCTGGCTGTTGGGGTCGATGCCCTTCTTGCGCAGGCGAGCCTCAAGCACGGAGGGGATGTGGATACGCTGGCCTCCAGACAGAATTTCCTGAGATAATGTCAGCTCGTTCAACCATAGTAAATCGTAAAAGCCTCTCTTCTGTCTTAGGAGAGATAGGTTCGTCCGGCGAGAAACCATCGCAGCGGCCAGCCGCCCGCACCACCATAAGGGGAATATTCGCCATGGGCGAGTCGATGACAACTCTGAAAACTTACCTGACCGCGCATGAAAAAGTCGTAGGCGTTCGTGACCTTGGGGTTCTCGGGGTCCTCCAAAGCATAGAACTAATTCGTCATGAGCACAACTCCTTTTGAATCAACCTTGTCAGTACTTACGGGTCTGGCTCCCTCGGGAAACTTGTCCAACACGAAGAAATCGGTGTTGTACTTCTTTCGGATCAGCGCGCCGAGGGCTTTCTCCTAGAGTGCTGTGTCAGCGGACGCTCATGAAAGCGAATGGATCAGGGCCAAGCGTACCTGTGGCGTAGACATATCCTCATCGTCGGAAACGTTGCGGTACTCTTCGGGGCCTTCCTCGCGGAGGAGCTTCTGTCCTTCGGCGAACGTCATGCGAAGGACCTTCTCGCCAGGACCAGGGAGAAGGAAATCCTCGCTGGGGTAGACTGCGCGGACAGTTTCGATCTGCTCCGCACATCTCTCCTTGAGACCACGGAAGATGTAGAGAAGTACGTTCTCCAGCGTGTCCATCACCTCGGAATAGTCCTCCTCGATCTCCTGCTCGAGATCAAGTCCGGTGAATTCAGTGAGATGTCTCGGCGTGTTGCTGATGAAAGTCAGATACAAAGCTTTTGCAACATATCAAATGCGTTTTGCTGTCCGGACAGTGTCAGAGATATATTCGCACAGTACCCACCTTTCCAACCAATCAGAACCGCCACTTCAACCACACACAACGACGCCCGAAGATGGCCGCGATAGCTTCATTTGTGCGCAGCGTGAAGTCGGGTTAGGCTAATGCGATTGATCTGATTGATTGGAAACGTGTGTATTGCCCGCATAGATTTTTGACACTGCCCGAATAGCAAGAATCTTTCAAATACGAAGTTGTAAAATCGTACCTGTTCTCTGCTCTAAACACAGGCCCGATGCAGTATACCTAGAGTGGTCAATAATTGTTCTGGACGGAAGACGGATTTTTGGTACCTTCTTTCGGCCTCCGGCAATCTCAAACTGCTTGTAAAATTGTGGACTCTGGGCCAAGCAAGCACTCTTTTCGAAATAAGGGAGCTGGAACACGTTGGCTCCGCCCTCGGACGCCGCGCCTATAAGGCAGGGAGGCTCGAACTGGACGAAGCCCTGCGAGTCCAAGTAGGAAGCGAATAACTTCCTCACTTGCATGCGGACTGCGATCGTTAGCATATAGTCTGGTCTTGGGTCTTGGAGAGCATACTGTCGGCGATCGCCTGTTGGCAGGCCGCGCGCTTGTGCATAACCGGGTTGTTGAGATGGGTTGACATGCTGGCGCTGGGCATAGCGTTGCTGTCGTCAATGCTGACGCCCTCAACACCGGCCTTGACCTCCTCAACGGCCTTGTCAGCCGGGGGAGCATTGGGGTCCTCGTCGTCGAAGCTGGAAATGGCGCGGTTGGAGACGGCCAGCGACATGGCCAGGGACTCGGGGCCAGGGGCGACAACGAAGAGCTTGGTGATGTGAAGCTCGTAGTTGCTGACCTTGCAGCTCTTGACGGGCTCGAGAGGCTTCTGAACGGTCGCCTCGATGAGCACAAAAGACTCCAGGGAGATGCCGCCAATCCACTTGACCATCTGCTTGGAGACGGGCTTGCCCTCGGCGCTGGCCGCGATCACGCCCTGGATAGCCCAATCGCGCTCCTCGCGGAGCTCGACGAAGCACATCTTGGCGCCCTGCATGCGCGAGTTCTGGATCCAGGCGCGGAGCTTGATGCTCTTGCCGACGTGGTCGTCGCCAATGGCCTTCAGGTTCACGCGCTCGGCGTCGACCTTGGTCTTGGGGGTGACATCGCCGTAGTTGTCCTTGGCCAGGTCCTCACCACCAGCACCGCCGGCAGCCTTCGCGGCGGCCTCAGCAGCCTGGCGCTCAGCGGCTCTCTTGGCCTTCTCGGCCTCCTTCTTCGCCTTGGCCTCGGCCTTCTTCGCTCCCTTCTTGGACTGCTTCTCACCACCCTCCTCGCCTGCGGGGGCAGCAGCGGCGGCGGGGTTTTCGGTGGGCTTTTCGGTCGGCGCGTCAGCCATGTTTGCGGTCGAGCTTGATCTTTCGAGGAAACAATTGGGAGTCGAATGGAGGGTTGGCCGTCGGGTTGTTGCGTTTAAAAGGGCGATTCCGTGACTCTCGTGGCCTGAGCTTTCGGTGTGACTGTTCAAAAAAAACGAGTGACACCACGGCCTGGATATTTCGATGGAGGGGCAGCGCACAGGTGGGGTAAGGAGCTCTTGCTTATCGATAAGCCGCGTGCGACTTCCCCATGCACCAAAGGCGTTCCCTGAGTGACTCAATCCGCGTAGTTTAGATTTTGGTTCATGGAATTGAGGCAGTCTTGTGGCACAATGCAATTTTCATGATTCAATTGGCTTTTAGGCCAGCAAGTTACTACAATTAGATATCTCAATCAATCCTTCCTCTCCCGTGGCGCACAATGCTACCGAATCAAACGCCAAACCTGAATTGCCAATCCTGGTATGCTGCCGCCCTGAAATGAACGCAAAACGTGTGATAGGTACATACAGCAATGAAATCTTTCTAGTGCCGTTTTCAGAATACAGTAGAGAAGGTCTTTTAGCTTCCAATGGATGCGAACTAAGCAACCAGAGAATTCGTTTCAGACTTCTCGCAGGTGAAGAGATTCACGTGGTAATCGCCCCGGGCTGCACATGCAAGAATGGGCCGATGGGGGTGGAAGGACGTGGCTGCAATCGGTGATCCCCTGTTCTGCTGAAGGAAGCTCGAGTATGGCTCAACGCGAGACAACTCATGCCCGTCGAAGTTGAAAACCTTAACGGCATGCGCGGAAGTACCACTAAGTGTCTGGTCAGTACCTTGTCGTGAAAGATTGAGTCTTGGTTCACTTACACAGCAAACACCGGCAGGTGTTCATGGGTGCTGGCTGTCCGGAGAGTATCCCGCGTCGCCTGGTAAACTTGGAGTGGCCGGTCCATGCGGATATCCCATAGCTTCACCTTGCCGTTCCTGCTTGCGCTGAGCAACTCGCGTTGTCCGCCACGTTGCATGTGGACACTCTTGATCCACTGCCTGTCTGTCTCGTCCTTCCACTTCTTGACCATGGAGTCCTGTGCTCTCAGACGCGTGTCGAAAACGCGAACAGCACCGTCTCCAAATCCAGCGACGAGCGTGTTGCCCGTCATCTGATCAGAGGTCAAAGAGGTGACACAGGACCCCGACCGAGCGGGAATGTCCATGATGCATGTCTCGTATGCTGCAGACCACACTCGGATTACTCTCACGTCGCCAGCCACCAGCACGCGACCCGTTGACTGCTGCCAATCGAATACCATGCCCGAGTTGACATTGCTGGGGACCATGTGCGTGAGAGCCCGCCAGGCCGAGGCTAAGTTAATGGACTTGTCCGAGTCGTAGTTCTGGTAGATCCGAATCACACCATCTGACGAACCCGTCATCAGGAACGCCTGGTCGTCTTCGTTGATGAACTTCATGTCACTGATTCTTGACCCTTCAGGGTTGCCATTTGAGAACTTGCTGAGTCGAGCGTGCTTCTTCCAATCCCACACGCAGACCGTATTCCCATCGTCGGCCACAGCAAGATGGTCCTCAAACTGGTGGAACTCCATCTTGGCCGGCTGTGAACCATTAT